TGATTATCTAATTACAGTAAATAATTTAAATTAATTCTAAATTACTAATCTGAAATATAAGTTCTAATAGTTAAATAATTAAGATCAAAATAATTAAGATTAAAATAATAAAACATATTATAGTAGTAAAAGATATTTTTTAGATAATAAAAATTTTATCTAAACCTCTATTTACAAGAAGGATCCAGATGAGTCTAATTTTATTATTAGTATTTAAAATATTATCAAAATTGCTATTATTTACTAATAAATATAGATTATTTATATAAGTTGCTAAGCTTGTTTCTATTTCATATTGTGAATAGGTATATATTGACAATTAGTTGTTATAAAGTGTATCATTTGTATTATTTGAATTAATAATTAAATAAACAAATAGAACAAGTTTTTTGTTGTGACCTAACAGAAAAATTATAGTCTAGAATAATAACTGGCTCATTTATATTTTGTATTGCTTTGAAATCTCTGCTGATTGTAAAAGTACTTTGGCATTGTTATCTTGTAACACAATTACTAAAAAGGTTAAAAATAAAGATGCAATTTGTCTTGTTGCTTTTACAAAAACAAAACAATAATGTATATCCTAATATTTTTTTTCTTTTATTTGTTAAAGCAATTGTAGTCTAAATTAGCATTTTTAATAAATAAAAATAAAAAAGGTACAAATATATTATTAAAATTTTTTTATTTAAAATATATAACAACTTAATATATTAAATAAATTATATTAAATAAAAATGTTTTTATATAATTTTTAAATTATATAAAAGTAGAGCATAAATATTTATAGACATGGGCATATACAATTTAGAAAAAGTGAATAAATATCAAAAATACACATCACTTACCTGAACATTAGTTAGGTAATGATAGTTTTTTGCTTCTAATATGTTTGAATAATGTGGCAGAAGGTAATTGTTTACAGTACTTTGAAAGAGATGTTCATCATATTTTGATTTTAGTATTTCTTGTAAGTGATTTACTGTTTGGACTTTAATAACTTCTTTTCTTTTTTTGCTATCAGAAGCATGCTCTCGTGAATATGCTCTAATAAATCTGGGTATTTGTGCAATAGAGAAGGATGTCCAGTGTGATGTCTAATAATAAAATATCAGAAAATAGTTTTCAAAAAATGAGACATAACCCATTTCTATAAATATACTAAAAAATTTGACCAAATTGACAATAGGGGCATCGGTGGCACTCTCTGCTTGTAGTTAACTAGAAAAATTTAATAAAATTTAATAAACATTAAATTAAATATTTATCTCTTTTATGAGTTTCATACAACTATTTTCTGATCCATGAAAGAATTTAAGCATGATAGTTTCATTAATGACATTTCACCTATTAAAGACTGTGATCACATAGCAGAATATACAATTACAAACACTTTTTACTTATTTTTTTTATAATATTTAATTCAATAAACGGAATTTATATTATTAATAATTTATTTTTATTTAAAAATTTTTTAAAGAAACATCAATATCATCATCATTATAATTAATAACCTTTTGATATTTAATAATTTGCGCTTTTTTCAACTATTCATTAGCTTTTTTCAAACCAGATAATATTCTAATACCATTTCAATAACATAAACCAGTATTGTCCTATGATCTGTTATGACCTATTGGCCAATTATAGGTTATGACCTTATGACTTATAAAATTACTAATACATTATAACCACCTTGGTCATATAAAGTTAGATATGACCTAAAATGGCCAACACTGCTCAGGATAACCACCTTTAGCAGATTTTGAATACCACTTAAATGAGTATATACTTTTTTGGTATGGTACAGTATTGGGTATTGGGTACAGTACAGTATTTTCTAAAGTACCTATATATATCTAGTAATTTTTGTGTATCTAATAGGTACAAACTATAATATATATTAATTTGAAAACTGTATCTAATAAAAATATTTATTACCTAGGTACGGTATAGTTAATATTATATTTTAAAGATATACTAGATGTATAATTTGTGTACCTTATAAAAAAATTATTCTTTTAGATATAGTATGATACAGTTAGAAGTTAAAATATATATTAGTATTTTTTTTGCTACCATTAGAATCATAATAACATTTTTTACAATTTTTATTAGAAGCCCAAGTAAAATTAATATAGAATTAACTCAATTAACTCCAATTATAATTATAATAATCTATTACAAACCTTTTTTGTAATATATCTAAAAGTATATACATAACATTGGGTACAGTATATTTTTTGAAAAATTACTTATTTTTTTTTTTATACTGTACCCAAATTGTTAATATAAGATTTGGGTACAGTAAACTTTTTTTATTAAGTGTTTATTTTTTTGCATACCTAACATCAAAAAAAAAAACTTAGTACAGTAATTATTATTTTTTTTGTGTACCCTGCTTAAAAAAATTTATCTAGGTACAGCCACTTTTTTGTACCATACCTTACCCAATACCCAACACTGTACCGTACCAAAAAGGTATATACTCCACTCAAATGCTTTTTTTTTAATCCTTAGTAGTGCCTATGCCATTTCCGTAGCAAAATCCAACATTATGTTGTCCCACCTTCGGCTGATTTTAAGTACCATTCAAATGTCTTCTTTTCGTCCTTAGCGATCCTATACCTTCATCGTAGTAGGATCCAAAACTGCATTGTCCGCGAGAATAACACCCTCAGCAGATTTTAAGTACCATTCAGTACCATTCAAATACCTTATTTTCGTCCTTAGTAGTGCCTATGCTATATTGATAGTAGAATCCAAGATTGCATTGTCCCAAGGAATTTTTATCATCTTCAGCAGATTTTAGACACCACTCAAATACCTTCTTTTCATCCTTAGTATTACCAATGCCTTTTTCATAGCCGAATCCAAGTTTACATCGCCCACCAGAATCACCACCTTTAGCAGATTTTAAATACCACTCAAATGCCTTCTTTTCGTCCTTGGCAGTGCCTCTACTGAGTGATAGCAGAATCCAAGATTATATTGCCCACAGGAATCACCACCTTTAGCAGATTTTAAATACCACTCAAAATGCTTTTTTTCGTCCTTGGCAGTGCCTCTACTGAGTGATAGCAGAATCCAAGATTATATTGCCCACGGAAACTACCACCTTCAGCAGATTTTATATACCACTCAAATGCCTTCTTTTTATTCTTTGCAGTACCTTTACCATATTGGTAACGGAGTCCAAGATTATACTGCCCATTAGGATTACTGCCTTTAGCAAATTTTAAATACCACTCAAACGCCTTCTTTTCATCCTTAACATAGTAATAGCAGAATCCAAGATTGTGTTGCCCACGGGAATCACCACCTTCAGCAGATTTCAAATACCACACAAATACATTCTTTTTATTCTTAGTAGTGCCTATGTTATTTTTATAGCAGATTCCAAGTTTGTATTGCCCACTAGAATTACCACCTTCAGCAGATTCAAAATACCATTCGAATGCCTTCTTTTCATCCTTAGTAGTGTCCATACCATTTTTATAGCAGAATCCAAGATTATACTGCCCACTGGGATTGCCGCCGTTAACAGGTTTTAAATATCACTCAAATGCCTATATCATTTCTATAGTAAAATCCAATAGTATATTGCCCACGAGGATTATCACCTCCGGCAGATTTTAAATACCACTCAAATGCCTTCTTTTCATCCTTAGTAGTGCCTATACCTTTTTCAAAGCACAATCGGGGACTATATTGCCCACTGGAATTACCACCTTCAACTGATTTTAAAATGCCTTCGTTTCATTCTTAATAGCGCCTTTTGCCATATTGATAACAAAATCCAAGTTCAAATTGTTTATTGGAATCACCGCTTTTAGCAGATTCTAAAAGTATTCTAAAATTCATTCATTTTTTATTTCAGAATGTTTTCATTAAAATTATATTTTATATTTGCCGAATCATCACTGATTCTATTCTATAATGATTAAAAGTCAAAAGCAAAAACGAATTGTATGCAGCAATGTAACAATTACCCAAACATATTAGCATCATTACTACATAAATTAAATGAAGTTTCAACATCTGGTATGTTTTTCCAGAAGTTTACAAGGAAATACAGTAAAAGCGTACTCAACTTTGTCATTGTCTAAAAAATAAGAAATTCAATTTGCTAAGGTTGGCAAGGGGTATTTTTGTACTTTAGGATTTTCAGAATGACAATTTTAGGACCGACCCAAAAAATATGGCCGCTTTGTCAAAATTACATTTAACCAATAACATGAGAATTTATACTCGGTATTTGAAAGATTAAATTTAATTAATATAAATTTTCGGAATTTAGGATTGATTTTAGCAATTTATTAAACTCGAATTGTCAAAATTCTGGCAGTACATAACCAGTCAATGTGTTCACGAACTTAGCACCACCCTAAAGATCAGCTACGCATTTCTAAACTACTCAACATTATAATTTCGTTTATATATATATATATTTAAAAAAATGTATGGGTTAACCATCTTAAATTTTGTGAGTCGACCGGTAAGGATTGGAGCCGGTTTGACTCAATTGTTTAATCAGGCAAGCATTAAAATCATTCTGTCCTACTAGCAACATAATTTGGCCTCGAACTATGAGCTATTTCTGAATTTTAAATTTTCAGAAATCACAATCAATACACATTATTTTCAGGTTATTTAGCCACGGGTTTTTGTTTTAAATTTGAAAGATATATCAGATAAGGAGGTAAATCATCATAAGAATCACCATAAACAACAGTTTTAACTTTTTTCTTAACATATTCCAAAGTAATCTTTCGTTCTTCTTGCTTCGATAATTCTGAGAAATCATCTTCATTAGGAAATTCAGTCCCTCTCACCACAACCCAATAGTGATGAGGATGGCTATCTCTGTCATTCATGTTAGCCAATTCATTGAATAAATAAGCCATATGCCAGTCCGTCCAACCATCTGCACTAACTCCAATAAATACTAAAGATCGCCTTTTATCTAGAATTACTGTTTTCATAAATTTTGCAAATGAGTTAATGGTATTTTTATACTCTTCTTCAGATATAACGAAGGTTCCTTTATCATAGTAAAGACCATGAATATGAATAACAAAACGATTGTGGTAATTCAAATCATCTGTAAAATCATTTGGGATTAAGAAATCTAATTGATTTGAGTCGCTTAAGTCTTCCATGTAATCCAATGCATTACGAAATAATGCGCTTTCCAAAAATGTATCGTAGTTTGAAGTTAAGAGCACGTTTTTTTCACATATAATATCAAATGCCTTGACTAAAGGAGAATGTGGGTTTGACTAATAAAAAGAATTTTTGAGCTGTAATATTGATCAAAAAGGATATTTTTGATATCATGTATATTTACCTTTAATGGACTAAGCACAAGTTCAGTAAGATGTCTAAATGTTTTATTCACAATATCGTCATTTACAGAAAGTGCACCAGCTAATGTTAATTGAAAATCTTTAATGAATTCTGTAGCATATCCATTTTTCTCGGTGGTGTCTGAAAAAAATGAAGGATTTAATATATCTTTTCTAAATAGGCTGTTCATAGTACATTAAAAGCAAAAAAAATATATTTACCAGAAAGCTTATCAAATAATGATTTTATTTCTGTATAATTATTTTTAAAACATTTCAACCTTTCTTTTTTCTTTTCATCTTGATTATTGGTAATCTCCTGTTCTAATTGGTCAATCCTTTGTTTGACTGACTTGGAACCTCGTTGCCATACATTACCGCATGAAGTATCTTGAAAGAAATGTTATAAAAATTTAAAATACAATCATAACATGTATACAATATTTATGATTACAAATATATTACTTACAACCTAGATTTTCATTCATTTTGTTGATAAGTTGTGTGAGGAGTTCCGTTGATTCTATAATTGCGGTCCCTTTTCCCCACGGAGTTATTGCAGCTTTTTTTAAAAGGTCAAAGTATTCACCCCTCATTTTAGTTTCTTTGGACTTTGTTTGAGGTAATTCATCGTAAATACGTTCAATACTAAATTTAGTTCTTTGAATCTCAACATTAATTTCTGAAAAAAGTCTTTTGTTATCGTTAGTATCTTGGAAAAGTGACATATTTTGTGAAAATTCTTTTCGGTCGTAAATAGCATCTTCAACAGCTTTAATTGCAGCAGATAATTGGTCATGATTTTTTTCAAATATTTTTGTGAGTTTTTCGTCAACATAACTTCCAAATTTTGTCAAGTTTTTAATATCCTCGAAGGAAAGATTTGATGACGTATATGTTCGGAAAAATTCTGTAGCTACAGCACGAACTATTTTATATGCAATATATAATATTAATGATATAAAACTGATTTGTTTAAAGTGAATGTAAAGTACAACGAAACGTACGAAAGCCAGCCCAACTTCCGACAGTTGACCTTATAGTCCTGGCATTTCCTTTAGTAAGAACTGGATCAAGGTGGATAATAGCGGAAGCTACTCCAGCGCCTGTAAAGATACAGCATTTCCCATCTTTCAAATCTGCTGCAAGTTCTATTTCTTGTGGTTCTAACACTGGATTCAAAGGCATTCTTGTAAGATAGAGATAGCTTTATGTAGCGTATAGTGATATATGTACTGATATATCCATTTTTATAGTTTGAGATACTTTAACTAGTGATCTTACAGGTTAGTCGATTGGCCAAAAAGAATAATTATTATTGACGGTAATGAAAAGCATCACGTCGCACGGCATATTATGCATTTAATTTAAACTATGGGCACTGAGGGAGTTTTTTTTTTCGAAAGGCTAGCAAAATACATGGTAGAGAAATGAATAATTGGTCGAGTTGGACTGAGAACCGTCGTAGAAATAGCCAATTGATTTCCACCGGCTGTGGATGAAGAAATTATAGAATCGCATGTCTCCAATCTTTGGATCGTAGGGTGACGTTATTCCAATTTCCTTATAGACATTTCCCCAAAAGGTAATTTAACCGACATCACGCCGTGTGACATTCATGCAATGATGTTAATTCGCATTGCATATTTTTCGTGTAATTAAAAAATACTGCAAGGCTGACAATGTTGTACGGTAATTTGGACTAATTGAAAAAAAATATAGACAAATATGGACATAGCAATTTTTTTAATTGTACATAGTCCAAATAGCAACATTGAAAGTTGAGGTAAATCTTTGAGCAATGCCGGAAGATTACAACGAATAAATGACTATAAGATCGTATAATTGACCGCAAAATCACTATCGAATAGTTTATCTAACGCTAGAGATAGAATCATGGGATACGTATCACTTCACCGACACTCATTTCGTAGACATAAAATTTCACCGACAAAATTCACCAACAATTATTTTACCTGCAAGTTTATTTCACCGGCAATTTATTTCACCGAAGCTCATTTCATAGACAAATTTTTTATAAATTCCACTAACCTTAACTCTAATTCCAGCCTGACCCTAACGACAATGACCAGAATTATTTTGTCGGTAAAATGAGTTTCGGTGAATTAAACTGTCGGTGAAATGGAAAGTTGGTGAAATAACAGCACACCGTAAATGTGTACAAGGTTGTACTCCGGAAGATCATGTGATAGTCCGGATGGTGCCCTCGGATCATTAAT